ATTATTATATATAATATAATATATATATAATATAATATATATATAATATGTATATATATACGAGTAATACCATGCATATATATATAGATATATATAGCTTAATAAATAGATTATGTATAGAATTATACATATAAGTAATATAATATTAATGTAACACAGTATATAGAAACATTTGTACAGCATATCTTGATTACTCTCTTTCACTCTACTTTCGAAATTTGATTATTATCGAGCCGAGGCAATGTACTCCCGCAGTAATATCTTATCGTTCTGGCTTTAGAGAGAATATCAGTTGTCAGACTATCTACTCACAGCATTTTTGAACTGGAGATAACTCATCTTCGTTGGGTTATATCTATGCTACGAAACACTTGTTGTTATGTAGGTTGTATATCGCACATTTCGGACAAAATCTATGATATATTCCCAATCAATTCCGTAAAAGTCACTAAATTAAGAAATTCCTGTTCAGGACTTCTCCGGAGCCCATAAACAATTGTATATAGAGTTTTGATAGGTTATATATAGTACTAAACCGCGTATCTGCTAAACAAAGCAATAACAATACCTCGACAATAAACAGCCCGAGCCTAACCATCACAGAGAAAATCAATGTAATATTATAGGCTAGGCCGTCAGAACATTGCAAAAATAAATACCCACACATCAAGGAACTATTCACCCAATTTCGACATCAATATCCATACACCAACAGTGTTATAAAAAGTACGAGTATTACATGTTCATATCGATTGAGACACATGACCACACTACAGAAAATTATGATGAGGTCACTCTCAGATTATGATACTGACAATCACGATTAAATGAATAAATACCCACGAAACAAGAATCTATCACTTCACAAAGCACTAGCACTTGCTATATTAATAAATCTGCTAAACAAGTATATAAACAATAGTCATAAGATATATATTAACCTAATTACGATAAGTTAATAGGTATATACTATCAACTATGTGAGATATTATATTAACATAGTATGTGGTTTCATAATCATTATATGATTATTGTATATGCTATATGAATGTTATGTATATGTAATCTTTGTAGAGATAACATATATTAACAGGTAGCATAAGTATTATATATAAAAATATCAGTGATATACTGGATTAATATATATTTACTCTCGATCACTACTATAACTATTTTATATATCAATATATGTACTTTCTAAACATGGGGTGTCATGTGTGTTACTGGTACTATATACTATCTATCTTCACTATATCTATACTATTATCTATTTATACCTCTATATCTTTCTCATTCATTTTACTCTTTACTATAATCTGTTCTATTACTTCCTTCCTCACCTATTAGTTGCGTCTTTACTTTCATTATATATCATACACAATTTATATATATGAGCTATGTATGTATGACTATATTACCTTATGTTCGCTGCGTACCTACTGTAGCCTACTATAGTATAATGGTAGTATATACATATATATATATATAATAGGTAGTATATATAATGTCGGAGTGTCGTGGTCCCATCGTCTTCTCAACAGCTTGCTGTGTGTTGTGGCGTGTAACGTATGGCTGTCGTGTGGTGTATGTATGTATGTGTGCGGTTGTGTGCGCACTGTGTACCTGTTATAGCCCATCTCCATATGTTATCTAACACACACATATATTGCGTATAATGTACAGTAGAGAGTGGCAGAGAGAGACAGCACGAGGGGGGCTGGGGGCTTCTCCCGCACATATGCTCACGGCGAATAATCCCCCGACGAGAGCGAGGAGGTCACGTCACCTCGCGAGCATTGGCCTGATTATCCCTAATGAGAGCACTCCTCGGCCCCCGGGTAACGTTGTCGCGTTTCGGAAGTTACAGCCGGCACGCGATGATGCTCCTTGATGGGCGCGGGGGACTCGAAGGAAAATGGGGGAACTGGAGGAGGAGGAGGAGGAAGAGGGGGAAACAAGGAAAGGGGAGAGAGAGAAAAAGGAAGAGGTGAGGGTAGGGGGCAAGGAAAGGAGCCTTGTCGGGGAAGAAGGAAGGTGGAAGGGGAAAAGGGAGAGAAACAGGGAAGAAGTAAGAGGGGAGGGGGCGGAGCGGAACGGAGGAAGAAAGGAGGATAGGAACTTGGAGCTTGAGGAAAAGGGAACACAAGAAGATAAAAGAAGAGGAGAAAGGAGCATATGAGAGGAGGAGAATATCAAGCAGACAGAGCAACGGGCATAAGAGGGGGGGGGGGGGGAAACAGATGAGGAGATAAAGAGGAGGAGGCGGAAGAAGGGCGAGAATTGAGGAGGAGGAGGAGAGGAAGAGTGGAATAGAATGGGGAGAAGGCAGGAGAAGGGGTGGAAGAAGAGGAAAAAGGAGCAGAGAAAGCAGGGGAAGGTGTAAGGGAGGAAAGGATGAGAAGAACGGATGGGAAATAAGAAGAAGAGGAGGAGAGGAGGGAGAAGGGAATATAAGAATAGAATGAGTAGGGATAGACGGAATTGGAGGAGGAGCAGAAAGAGGTAGAAGAAGAGGAAGAGAGGAGGAGGAGAAGAGGAAAGGGTGGAGGTGAAGGAGGAGGAAGAGACGGAGGGTAGGGAGAAGGAAATGGAAGAAAAGAAATTGGAAGAGGAGGAGAAAGAGACGCAAAAAAGGCGGAGGAGAATGAAGTGGCAGAAATGGGGGGGGTGGAGCATATGCCGGGGAGAGCGAGCGCGGTGAAAGCCAGTCATAATGCTGATTCAGAGGAGTTGCAGAGCTCCTAAGGAAGTTGCGTTTATAAGTAAGATTATCTCCAGTCACGCTATTTCTTGTTTGTTTGTTGCTCCTGAATTCGCCTTGGGCTGTTATTCACATACGATAAATGACTTCATATTTTCAGTTACATAATGTGGCTTTTGGAGATCTAAGGAGTACGTGCTTATACTTTTGTTTATGTTTATTTGTATTTATTGATGAGTTGTGTTATTGAAGAATAATAAATGTCAGTTCCAGACAACAACAACAAGAACAGTAGTAATAATGATAATAATAATAAATAATAACAACACAACAACAACAACAACAACAACAACAACAACAATAATAATAATAATAATAGTAATGATAATGATAACAACAATAATAATAATGACAATAATAAAAATTATTATTATTGTTATTATTTTTATCATAACAAAACTAATTATAATGATAACAATGATAACAATAATAATCATGATACTAACAACTGATAATAATAGTAACAGTATTAATAATAAGGATGGTGATGATAATAATATCAATGATAATAGCAATAATGCTAAGATTAATAGTGTTACTAATGATAATAAGGATAATAACAAAAAAGATAATAGAAAACATAACAACTACAACAATACTATCACTACTACTAACACGGATAATGATAATAATGATTGTAATAAAAAATAACAATATTAACAATATTAATGATAATAATGATAATAATGATAATGAAAGTAATGATGCGAATAATGATAATGATAATGATAATAATAACAAAACAACAAAATAACTTTAATAAAAACAATGAGAATAATAATGGTAATCATAATGACAAGAATGATGATAATGAAAATATTGCATACCTCCACCAAGGCCATAGGGTTACTGATGCAGTAAAAACATTCACCTTTGAAGAATTATATCAAAATCACCTCTTTCTCGAGTACATTGGCGACGTCCGTAAACATAACCCCTTTGGCGGAAGTAATAAAGGTAAAGATAATGATAATAGTTACATAGGGGTAACAGATGCAATCATTTGAAACATTCCGGGATCCGGTTCGTGGTCCCAATCGCCACCAAAATGAGATGGCATCTAAATTAGGCTAAGACACACAAAAAGCTTCATAAAAATCTATTCATAACCTTTTGTTATCCTGTTAACCAACGAACAAACGAACAAACAAACTAACTAAACAGCGCTACTAAAACCAATTATTTTAATGAAAAAAGAATAGGAATATGGATCATATTAACAATGGTAATAGTTATGATAGTAATAATAATAATAAAGAATAATGATAATGATGATGAAGACGATGATAAAGATAATGAGCACCACCGTAAGAGCGCTGTGAGTTCAAGGGGCCCAAAAAGGGCAGCAGAATCAGATTAAACCCAAGCGCGGCAGAGGCAGGTCTCAGTCTTGCCGTCTCCCTCGCGTCCCTAACGAAATGAAGGAGTCAGCTGATTCGCGCCCGTCCACCATTTAAGTTCTTGGCATAAATCCCTGATGAACTTTCCTTGTAAAAGTTAAACATTTGGGGCCGATTAAACTAAACTGAGTGATAAGACACAGGTTTAAGGCTGTGACGCTTAAGAAAATATGCCATAACTCGGTGGCTTTCTCATTTCGGGAGGAATTATGAATTCTTAAGACTCAGGGAAAGAGCGGGCTTGATGGAACTTCTCCTTGCAGTTGCATAAAGTAACCGCTTCCTAACGAACGCTTTCCTTCCATTGCAGAGAGCGATGGCGGCTTTGCTCCTCAGGTACCTCGTGCTTGGATTCACTATCGCGGGTAAGTGCACACTTGATGTCCTTATTGCTAAAGCTGAGGCGAAAAAAGGTCCGGGTCCCTCGCCAGAAGCTAAACCTGTATTTACCTCTGTTAGTATTGTGACGTTTTAGTTGGTTATTCTTGGGTGGTAGTAATGTTACCATTCCTTGTTACTAAAGTGGCAGACCTTATCAACTATGAATTACTATACTCCTTAAACGACGGCACTATCATTTCCCAAAAGAAAGTTTCACATTTTATCCGAAAACAGGTAGAATCCAGTATAATCATGATAATGTTATATTGTCACGAGGATTGAGCCTGTGACATATGAATGTTGGAGCAGCCGAGTGGGTCATGCATATTGCAAATTGCATTGATTTCCTCTTGGGGAGACTTGCCTCTTTTTTGTCTACAGATTCAGACTTCTTTCAGTCACAATTTCTACTTTTTTCTTTCTTATTGTTACTAGAGATTAACAAATACTTCCCAAACATGAACACAAGTAAGATAAACTGATCAAGTAAATGGGGAAAGTTATCAATAGTACAGAAAATTTTCCTCGGCACAATTATTAAGCCAGTGTTGTGATACAGCCTTTTATGTTGATGGGCCTTCTGGCCATAACTTTCGCGATTTGAGGAACTTTGTTCTTGCTCCCAGGAGGCGCAGGCAAGGAGATGCGGCCGCCGATGCTCCAGCGCCCCGGCGTCCTCTTGGGTCCCTCGCCTAGAACCACGAGCATCACCGCCACTTCTTCCTCTTCTTCTTCTTCCTCCGTCTTGTCCCCATCCTCCTCCTCCTCCTCCTACATCCCCTCCGCCCCCGACCCGCTCTCGCCGGCGTCGTTCGTGGAGGCTCCCGAGCGGCTGCAGCCCCATTCCCGCGCGCAGGAAGAGGAAGACGATTATTTGTATGAGGATTATGAGGAAGGCGACGGCGAGTACGAGGACGAACAGGAGGAGGAAGTGAAGGTCAAGGTGCGGGAGCCGTTCTTTGGCACAGCCAACAGCACCACGACCACGGTGTTCCTCGGCGCCACCGCCACTCTCGACTGCACCGTGCATGACATCGCCAACGAGTCGGTAAGAGTCCATGGGGTTTCGTGTATGTGAGTGAGTGTGTGTGTGTGTGTGTGTGTGTGTGTGTGTGTGTGTGTGTGTGTGTGTGTGTGTGTGTGTGTGTGTGTGTGTGTGTGTGTGTGTGTGTGTGTGTGTGTGTGTGTGTGTGTGTGTGTGTGTGTGTGTGTGTGTGTGTGTGTGTGTGTGTGTCTGAACATTTCGTATCATAATCATAATATACGATTATAAGAAGCTCACTCTCCCCTGCGTCAATGGCGCCCTTTGCCCCGACAGAAATCTTGGAAATGACAGTGAGCGACACGTAATGATTCCCGGTAATGAGACCACGTCGCGCAGTAATACCTGGTGATGGTATCGCTTGCTCGCGTCGAAGGTGTAATTAGGAAGTCATTATTATCGTGGTATATATTAATCCCTTAATTTGACAATGAAGCTTACGATAGTCTCGTAACCATGCATTTTATTTAGGTATATCGCCGTGCATTGCATGGCTATGTTGGACTATATAGTGTTCAGGAAATGCAATTCAGGAAATACATTGCGCTCATAATACTGCAGCATATGATGAAAGAGTGACTGACAAGTGCAGAGCGAGACCTTGGATAATAATTGGATTATAATGTATGTTTAGCAATCGATCGACGATACACACGTGTGGACGTGTCAATGCAAGTACAAAATTATTTTTAGAAAATAAAAAAAAAAATTATGACAGTTGAGCCAAAAGGTATGATAATTGTAAAGATTATCAATAATAATAACAATGATGATATGAGTCAAAAGAAAAATCATAATGATGACAACATCAATGATGATGATAATTATAATAATATAATAATGATAATCACAATAATCAAAAGAATAAGGATAATGATAATAAACATAATAGGGATAATAATGACAATGTTTGTGATGATGATGATAACCATAATCATAATAATCGTAACAATGATAATATCAATAATGATGATCATAGTAATAATATCATTATTATAATTATGAAAACAATAATGATAATGATAATGACGCAGATAATAATAATGATGATAGTAATGATGATGTTGATAATGATGATGATAATAAGGATAATGATAATAATGATAATGATGATAATGAGGATAATAATGATAATGATGATGATACTATTGACAATATTAGTAATATTTATTAAAATAATGATAGTAACAATAATAATGATAGTAACAATAATAACAATAATAAAAATAATGATAATATTAATGATAATGAATATGACAACGATGATAATGATGATAATAACAACAATGATAATAATGATAATTATGATAATAATGATGAAGATGAAGATGATAATGATAGTAATGATAATGAAAATAATAATTATAATAGTGATGATAATTATATTAATAATGATAATAATATTAATAATCATTGTTAGTATTATTATGAAAATATTGATAATAATAATAATGATGATAATAATAATGATAATATGTATGATAATATCAATAATGACATTGTTAATAATTATAGCAAAAAGCATTATCATAATATCAATAATAGTAATAATAATTATAATAATGGTAATGACGACGATGATGATAATGTTAATGATAATGAGGTACAGGACGATGATATTGCTACTAACAGTGTTATTAATATAATCAATATTAGGAATGACACTAGTCATGATAATGATACTGATAGTAATAACCATAGTATCAATAATAATGATAAGTATAAGAGGAAGAACAATAAAAATGATAATGATAAGAAGAGAAATAATAATAATGATAACGATAATGATGATAATAATCTTACTGTTGGTAATAAGGTTCTTAATGGAAATAATTAGAACGTTAATAGGAATATTGATAATGAAAATGATGGTGGTGATAACTTTAAAGATAAAAATGGTAATGGTAATGATAGTA